CAGAAGCACTTCCACCAGGTATTGAAAAATTCACGATTATCTGACTCCAATCTCTTCTGAAGTGGTAATTTGACCAAAATAGCCAGGAGTTGTGCAGCAACATCCATAACTGATACCGCAGGACCATGAAAAGATTTAAGTCTTTCATATAGCCAAACATCCACCACATAGATCATCAGTGAACTCCTCCTCTAGGTCAAATTGTTATGAGGGGGGGCTTTTGCTCCCTCTCAAAAATAGTAAATGTCTCCCCAAGGATCAAGCAAGGGTCCTTTCAAGCATTGTCCTTTCAACAGCCAGAAAAATTCTGCATGAAGAATTTAATATTCTGCCTACATTGTTTGATAAATGTCTTGGGAAACACAATAATTCAAAACCATGGCTCTAATATATTTGAGTTTTATGTCAGCAGATGAGACTTCTTTTAGAATTATTGGCGTGTCTTAGCACTAATGCATGCCATGTGCTAAAACAGACAGCAACGCTTTCTTTACTAAAGCAGCAAAACCATGTTTGCCAAGCATCTCGGGAGCTCCAATGGTGTAGAGTACCAAATTTTACTAGCCAAACTTTTCATTATTAGAAAGATGTCAGTTTCCAATTTAAAAAAAAAGAGCTCACAACATAAAAATTATTTGATGGTATCAATGTACAAATAATGATTAAAATCAGATATTGGCAGCCCTAAGAAACATTGGTATTTTTAGCCTGTTGAATGTTAAAGGAAAGTCGCTGCTGATACTTCTATGAATTCCAGCCAAACCTGAAAGAAATGTCAACAATTCTAATGCAGATGATGTCATCTGACAGAGGAAATGCTTCCGTTTTTTTTCTCTGCTCTAAAACAAACCAGCTCAATAATGTCCAATATTCTCAGCTTAACCATGGTGTCTTTGATTGTATGTGGCTTCCATGACTGGGTAGTATAATAAGCAAGTAAATAGGATGCTTCATGATAAAGCTTTGTTTGCCAAATCCAGCTTCCAGTCTTTGCCATTTAAGCTTCCCTCCAATGAAAGAACCATATTTTTCCAATGGCTAGTAAAAATTTGCAGAACTTTATACCCATATGTGGGGATAAATATAAAACAAGATAAGCCTAAGCTACAATACACATTCTTTTCACATTTTCAGCCTAAATTATGTCAAATTCAGTGGCCTATAATTGTAATGGCAGCGCATATTTTCTTTTATTCTTAACAGGAATTTAATCTATTACAATATAGTAACAATGATAATTATATATTACCTGACCATGTACAGTAGCATCCCATGCTACTTCACTCTTATTTGGAATGAAATATATCTTAATATATTTTGACAGATATAAAAAATTATTTTGTTAAATTGGCTTTCTTCTTATAATGAAGAAAAAGTCACATATCTGGTTTAAATATCTCTGACTTTGATATATTAATTTCATAATGGCATACAGAGACTCAAAAAGTATTTACTCAATTTAAATGAATTATAAAGTCAAATAATTATTGATAGGACATTTTATCTTTTAGAGGAATACGTGCGGACTTAGAAGAAAAATGAAAACTCTCACTTAGGAGTTATATATTCTCTTATCCTCTCACTCCATTTTTCACTCATACATTGATTTTGAGCTACATCAGTGGTTCTTAGCCTTGACTATATATTACAATCACTTCAGAAGCTCTTAAATATTGATGACTGAACCCCATTCCAGATCAATTAGATTTAAATCTCTTGGGGTAGACGTGCACTTTCTTTTAATGGCCCAGTGATTTTATCATTCAGCCAGGATTGAGAACTACTGAGCCAAATAAACTAATTCTAGATCCCATCCTTAAAAGCTTACACTCTAGTACACACGAGTATGTATATATTCTTAGATTACTGCATATACAAAGATAAATGTACCTGTCAATGCAAAGAAAACATATCAATATATCTTTGAACTACATTATGACAGACATGCTTCAGGCGACAAAACAGAAGAGCTACATCCAATGTAATAATGAAGGAAAAATTAGGTGGAGAAGTACTGAAGATTTCTGAAGGAAGTAATGAATAAGCAGGAATTAACCAGAGGAAAGGATGGTGGGAAGAAACTCTAGGCATCAAATAGGGGGGATGACAAAAGCAAAAAGCAAAGTAGGAAACAACAAGGTTAAAAACCAAGAATCACTCACGGTTACCAGTTCCCAATCAAGAATATTCATGTGAGGAAGGAAGAATAAATAGGAAACTTTGGCAGAGAAAGAACGTGTAATATGCTTTGTGTATGTATATTAAGGTGCCTGAAGTTTATTTATTATAGGTGAAGGGCAGTCAGTGATGTGTTAAGTGGAGAAAGACACAATCAGGCTGCATTTGGGACAGATCTCTGGAAGCCACCAGGAAAAGAGTGCTAACATGCACTGAGCATTTACCACGGTGCCAGTGTGCTGCTGAGCACTTTTCATTGATTGTCTTAACTAATCCTACCACAATTATATGGTAGATACTATTATCTTTATTTTACAAATGAGTAACTTCTCTAAGTCATATAATTATTAAGGAATAGAGAAGGGATTCAAAACAATTCTGATCCCTGAAGCCTAGGCCTTTGACCTCTAGGACGGATGGATTGGCAGGAGCAGAGTAAGAGGTAGAAGAGACTACACACTGATAAATTAGTCAGATAAAATTATCCCACATGAGAAACAATTAGGGCAATGGCACTAGGAGTGGAGAAGAAGAAACAGATTCCAGGAATATTTACAAAATTTAAAAATTATCAAACTCACATAATTCAGCCTTAAAAAGGAATGAAATTCTGACGCATGTTACAATATGGACTAACCTTGAAAACATCATGCTAAGTGAAATAAGATAGTCACGAAAGGGCAAACATTGTATGATTCCATCTTTAAAGTACCCAGAAGAGTCAAATTCAGACAAAGAAAATAGAACAGAAGTTACAAGGGGCAGAATCAAAAGTTATCAAGAATATATTTTGTGAAACAGAATGTTAAACCCACATAGATCCTTACTTCTTAAACCTATAGATCCAAAAGCTCTCCAGTAGTTTACAACATAGGAAAAGTAAATGAGTAGAGTTGATTATAACTTGCTTTAAGCTACTTATAAAAAGAAAAACTACTTGTAAAGTCTTTGAAAATTAGTTCAGCATAAACTTACCAAACTGCTTACTGTCTCAAAGGTAACTTACAATAAATCAATCAGCATTTTATATATACTCTCATATGTTTATATTTTTGTGTTTTAGATATAGACCTTTTTTAAAACTAACAAGTTACATGAAAAGTTACCCAATATATTACAAGCTCATAGAGCATAATAGCACTAATCTAAAGCTTACTATGGTGCCAGAAGCTTTAAATACTCAATATATATTATCTCTGATAATTCTCAAAATTACAAGGTTGGTATTAGGGCCAATTTAAAGACTAAAACTGAATTTCAGTGAGTAATGTTACACAGTTTGCTTGCAAGTAGTGAACCTAGAATTTGAACCTACTGTGGTTTCAAAGCTTATGTTCTCAACCACTACCCCTAATCAATCCTTGATTAATATCCCTTAACTAATCTATTTCCCCATATCAGAAAAAGGGCATGATGACATACAACACATAACAGTAGAATAAGTCCTTGACTCATCACACCAAACGTCTGCAAAGTTCACACAGAATCCAGGCAAAAAGTGCCTCCAAAAGTAGTAGTGATGAAAACAAACATTTTACATTTGTAGTTAGTTTCACCTCAAAACCAAATGTTTCATAATTATTAGTTTAGCCTACATTTATTTACTAAATGTTATATATTACGTAAAAAAAAATTTAAAAAGTCAATAAAACATTTTAATATGAACACTTACAGCAAAACTAACAACAGATTTGCTCAGAGATCTTGAACAGGTTTCATTAAATATCTGAAACATTATAAAACAGGTCAAATAGTTTCTGATCATCATTTTCTTTGTTTATGGGCTTTCACTATGCCCTATATCTTTTCCTAAGTAGCAAAATTTAAATATCTTCAAGATAAAATATTAAGGTGGTGCTTAACTGTCCATTGCTACAGACTTGTACAGTGGCTCTGGATGATGGCTAAACCATTAGCTGGAGCAAAAACCTTTAAGTATTTTTCACATGTCCTAAATTGTATAACTAGAATTAGCCACAAGATGTATTTCATCTTTGTAAAAAGAATGTAATTTTTTTAATTTTTATAATCCAAAATTATCCAAGAATCTTTCTGCCATTACTATTAATTCCTTGAAAATTAATAATTCAGACCTATTTTTGGTATCAAAAGTTAACTATAAGCTAATTTTTTGTAGTTTCAATACCAAAAGAAATTAAGTAAAACTAGTACTTTAGTAGGCAGGGAGAAACAAAATTACTAGCAACATAATCCCTCATATAGGGAAAAGTTTCCATATAAGAATTCAGAAAAATTAGGTAGAGCAGGAAAAAAAATACTTTGTGGGCTTCTTTTGTATATTACATTTGATAATTAATTATCTCAAAACATTCCATAAACTACTGGTATGGATTTCTGGGTCTTTTAATTTTTATCTGCAGACAAAAAACAAGTTTCCCAATGTAAGAGACTGGTAAATAGATTACCTTTTAAAACAAATGCATTTTCTCTAAAGAAGTATTCTAATTCATCTATTAAAATGAAAACTTTAGAAATGCTAAGCATGAATATTTTAAGAACTGATGGTTATATTAAAAACAACAATAAAGATACAATCTTCTTGGTTGTACCACATGTGGATGTATATAACACTACTGAACTGTACATTCAGAAATGGTTAAGTTGGTAAATTTTATGTTACGTGTATTTTATCACAATTAAGAATTTTTTTAATCAATAGAAAAAAGAAATAATCTTCTAAAGGAAAAAACAAAACAAAATATATATAATTCTGATTAACATTATAGCTTGAAAATACTCAGGATATCCAATCACTGGCCACTGTCTGTCCCGATACCAAGAAGTTGGACACAGAACTATACCTTCTCTGATACAGGTATGTTGCTGGGTTCCTCTGTATTTCTTGGTTGCTTTACAGATTCACATCCATACATCCCATTTTTAAGAATATGAAGCTGAATATCAGTCACGTGCTGGTGGAGAGCCCCATGAGGGCTTGTGGAGAGGGACTCATCATGCAGATTTTGAGTCATGCTAGCTGAACCACTGAGCACTGACTCCACATTAGGATTTGTTTGAGAGACCTGTGGAGAAAATACAACACCTGGAAGATTGACATACTGAGAACTTTCCTGATGACGTAACAAAGCTTCAGGCACGATTTTATGCTCATTTCCAGGAGATACAAGTATATCACTGGTGGCATTTTCTAAGTGTTTCCTATCTACTGGCCCAGAAGGTAGAACTGTGGGTTGCTGTAGCACAGTTTCAATTCTCTGTGATTTTTCAGTAGTTGCTTGAAGAGAGCATGGATTTAATTGTGGAACACTAGTTTGTATTACTGAAGGCTGGCCAAGCTGTTGAAATACTTGCTGAATTGGATGTTGAAGAATACCTGCTCTTCCAGAAGTCTGTGTCACCATAATTGGTACATTGACTTTATAAAGGTGACCTTAAAAAGGAGGAAACAATCTTGTAAGTATAATAGAATTAAAATTTCCTTTGACAACAATCACAAAAAAAATCTCATCCACAACAGGCTGGAAAAAAATATACTGATATGTTAATGGTGGTTATCTCTAGGGGTTTTTCTTTTATTCTTCAGACATTTTTGGATTTTCTACAATCAATTTATAAATTCTTATTTTTTAATTATGTATGTTTAGCTTTAATTCCAGACTTCTCCCACAATTGTTTATATGTCACACTCTGAGATACAAAAAGGCCACCAATATTTAATCCATGAACCTCTTCCATTGTTCGATAAATTAATGTTATCAACCAAAAACTGGATTTTAACAAACATAATCATGTAAAATATAACTTCATATATTTAAAATGCCATATAACAAGAAAATGCTATCCAAAAGAGAGTTTAATGATTTCAAAAGTAATCAAATTTCTTCTCCTTTCTTCCTTTAAAATAACACTATAAAAGAAAAAAAAAGGCTGGGTGCGGTGGCTCATGCCTGTAATCACAGCACTTTGGGAGGCCTAGGCGGCTGGATCACAAGGTCTGGAGATCGAGAACCTCCTGGCTAACAGGGCGAAACCCCGTCTGTACTAAAAATACAAAAAATCAGACGGGCGTGGTGGCGGGCACCTGTAGTCCCAGCTACTCAGGAGGCTGAGGCAGGAGAATGGCGTGAACCCGAGAGGCGGAGCTTGCAGTGAGCCGAGATCAAGTCACTGCACTCCAGCCTGGGCGACAGAGCGAGACTCCGTCTCAAAAAAAAAGAAAAAAAATAAAGAACTTATTTTTGAGCACTGAGTTAGGTGCTTTACTTAAACTTTACAACAACCCAAAGAAGAGGTATGATCCTCTTCAAAATCAAGAGATGGTGCTCTGAAAAGCAGAGACTGGTTAACCTCAAAACTGTTGTTTGTTCTATCAGACCATGCAATCTCTACTAAGAAAGCGGACAAAGGTGGATCAACCTAATCTTTAGTCCGTAATTAGAGCTAGCAGGAATGCAGGTAAATTATTTTATTTTGTATTTGTTAAAATTTAGATAACTGACTTGAATTAGAAAAAATACATACAAAGAACCCCTACACAACGTTGGGAAAGAGAACTGGGAAGGAAATACAGGACAGGCCTAGTACAATGTCTTTTATGGTAGACTGTCTCCATAACAATAAAAACCACCATTTATCATTACTTCTAAAATCTATTTTATTAAAAGTTCTTATAACTTCTGGTATATAATCTATTAAAAAATCATGAAGCTTAACGTCCAAAAAATAGTACCAATGCTAAAAACAAAAATATTCTTAGAATATACTCTCACCAGATACAGTCTGTAGTGTCACACCTGCTGGTACATGAATGGGATAACCAGGAAAAGTAAAGTTTGCACTGGAGTTTGAAGTACCCTAGATATAAGAAATTTATATCAGAAAGTTAGAAAAGGACTTTACTTGTATCTTTTTTTCCCTGATCTCATAGGGAGTCAAAAAATCTGATTGTGGACAATAGTTTGACAATACTTAACATTTAACATTAGGGCTGAGTTCTTTGAATAAAACAGTTTTTCGATATTGATCATCCCATTAAGGATCAAGAGGAATCCTATTCTACAGTTATTAGCAAAGAAGTCAGTAAGTCCTAATGAACAGTATAAACATTGACTCAAAAAACTTGCCCAAGACATAGCTTTGCAAGGCCATTGATTCTCAGATCTGCAAAAATTTGAAAGATTGATAACATCCAGTGTTGTTGAGAATGTGATAAAAATTGGTTTTCTCAAACCACTGTTTGTATGAATGTATATTGGTACAATCCTTTTGGAGGGTAATTTTTGCAATATATATACCAAAATTGAAAATACATATGACCTTTGACCCAGGAATTCTACTTTTAGAAATTTGTCCTGATTATCACACAAACACGCAGAAATATATACAAGCATAACCAATGGAATACTATATTAGAAAAATGCTGGAAATAATTTAAATGTTCACCAACAAAAGTTTGTTAATTAAACTGTGTTACATCCACTAAGGCCAATGTGTACTAACTGAAATTGAAAGCAGTACGTCTGTATTACTAAATTAGAAAACAGAAATTACAGAAACAGTAAAAAGAGTATTCATACTTTTTACCCTGAAAACTAATATAGCTTTCATGAAAGAAGTCTGGATGGATAAATATCAAACAGTTAAAACGTTTATTCTTGGAGTATAAGACTACAGAGCTCTTTCTTTTATTTATAAATGTTTTGCTTTTTTACTTTTAAGAGACAGGGTTTCATTCTGTGGCCCAGGCTGAAGAGCAGTGGTGCAGTCATAACTCACTGTAACCTCCAATTCCTAGGCTCAAGTGATCCTCCTGCCTCAGCCTCTCAAGTAGCCAGGACTACAAGCACACACCACCACGCTCAGCTAATTTTTAAAAAAAATTTTGTACAGGCCGGGCATGGTGGCTCACACCTGTAATCCCAGCACTTTGGGAGGTCAAGGTGGGTGGATCACTTGAGGTCAGGAGTTTGAGACCACCCTGGCCAACATGGTGAAACCCCGTCTCAACTAAAATACAAAAAATTAGTTGGGCGTGGTGGTAGGCGTCTGTAATCTCAGCTACTCAGGAGGCTGAAGCAGAAGAATCACCTGAACCTGGGAGGCAGAGGTTGCAGTGAGCCAAGATCATGCCACTGCACTCTAGCCTTGGATGACAGAGTGAGACTCTGTCTCAAAAAAAAAAAAAACTGTAGCGATATGGTCTTGCTATGGTGCCCAGTACCTCAGTCTCCCAAAACACTGAGATTACAGGTGTGAGCCACTGTGCTCAGCCTATTTTTACTTTTTATTAATATAAGCTTATTATTTATTTAAACAGGAAAAAATATTTCCTTGAATTCCAAAGGCAGAGGTATTTCTTCATTGGTCTCCTATCAAAAGCAGCACCATTCTTTCCAAAAATCCTATTAAGGTGTGTGGTTTTGGCTGTTCTTAGTGAAGAAATGGAAATAACTAGCCTACTAAGCATTTGCCCTAGAAAGGCAACCTATGGGCAGAAAGAAAATTAAAAACAGTTAGTATATACTCTCAGTACTATGGAAGAAAGATAAAAGTGAAAAGCTGCTATTCTTCTCTACCTGAAAAACTACTTGGTTTTCTATGTTAACATGCACATTTATCCTCTGCCTCCAAGTACTAAGGGGAAAAATATTAACAAGCTGTACTTCACAAAGGTACAAAATGACAAAAATATTCCAGTTTAATTAAAGTAAAAACTATGATGTTGCTCCATTCTGGAGGGGAAAAAAAATCAGAAAAAAAAAACCTCAAAATTATCTATTTAGGATGTAACAAGGATATAACATTATACAGTGTATTAAAACCTCATACAACATAACTTCAGACATTTCCTAACCTTGTAGGTATAGTCTTGGAAGATGCTAATGACCTCTCTGAAAGACAGGAAAACTTGGCAAGAAAATGTCAATTCTGAAACTTCTGATTTTTATTACATCTATGCTATAGATGTTATTCTGTCGCCCCACTCTTTACCACATCTTTTCTTTTTTTCTTTTTTTTTTTTTTTTTCCTTTGAGACAGAATTTCGCTCTTGTCACCCAGGCTGGAGTGCAATGGCATGATCTCGGCTCACTGCAACCTCCACCTCCCAGGTTCAAGCGATTCTCATGCCTCAGCCTCCTGAGTAGCTGGGATTATAGGTGCCCGCCACTAGGCCCGGCTAATTTTTGTACTTTTCAGTAGAGACAGGGTTTCGCCAGTTGGCCAAGCTGGTCTCAAACTCCTGATCTCATGTGATCCACCTGCCTCAGCCTCCCAAAGTGTTGGGATTACAAGCATGAGCCACCGCGCCCAGCCACATTTTTTCACTTTCAGCTGGAGGGTAAGAAATTACATCTACGTTCAGCATTTTGCCACCACTCACTAACAGTGGGGCATATCTTTTAAAATATATTTTAAGTAAGCTACATACCAGTTCTGCTGTAGTAAAACTTGGAAGAGTTCTACCAGCAGGAATAACTAATGATGCTGCATAGAAAACAAAATAAATATGCGTTCATTAGAATTTACCAATTTAATAAAATCACTAAATATAGCTTATTTTTAAAAAATATTTTCTATCACTAACAGGTTAAACCATGGTGAATTCTAAACTTCCTGATTCCAAGTGAGGTAAAAAGTAATTATATTTTTCCAACAACTTCAGATAAAGACTTTACAAATAAACTCCTTTAAGTGCCAAAAGAAAATATCTCACTGTAATCAACCATACTGTACTTTGGAAATCCATAACAAAACACCTAGACTGTCCTTAGTAAGTCAAGGTAGCACTAAATCTCTCTTACAACCCTTCACTGGAGAGAAAAAGTAGTATTTATTAAAGAGGCACATTTCCAAGAGACTATAATATTGAGCATAAATTTGTAACCCAACATAAACCCATTCTAAATTGTATAGGTTCAAAATAAATTCCAATTCATTATTTTATGAAAAGTTATTTACAGTACTTTGGGCAAGTAAGCAAGCACACCTGAATAGTTTTAGGAACAAAAGAATAAGAACATGTCTCCTCAAGTCTCTGCAGTAAAACAGGTACAACTGCTAAAAACAAATCCCCAGATTGACAACTCGACCTACATTAGAGCTACAATCCCATATATCTTTCTTTTATTATCTACCAGTTTTTCTGTGCTAACCAGCCTTTCATTTATAATACATCTCAAAGATTGACCAGCTAGTTGTAAATGTAAACTATCATTTAAAAATAAGTGTAAAGAAAAAATAGTAACTACAGTAGAGGGATCTTAGTTGATCAATGTAATCATATACCTTAGATACTCAAGGTTCATTTTACCTAAACGTGACTAAATATGGTGGTTAGAATGCCATTTTCCCTCATCTTTAATAAAAACACAAACTTTAGCATGTTTATGTGTTAATGTAATATTTATTGGCTTGTTTTTCACATACTGCATTAAGGAAAATTGCCCCAAAGATCTGTTCCTGACATTAGAATCACTCCATCACATAAAACAACTCATAAACAAACAACTCATAAAAGCTAACATTTTTTTAAACTAACCATTCCTTCCACGTTAAGACAACAGAAGAAAGGCTACAGATTGATGGTTAATGAAGCACAGAATTGTTTTTATCCTCTGTTCATCTATGACTTTGCTTATTAACAGGCATTATCTTAGAAAAGTCAAATTAGAAAGAATTGAACTGGCAGGAACACAATGGTATTAGTCTTCATTAGCTGAAGTGAGCAAAGCTTAAGCTGCTACAGCTTAAGTAATAGCCTGAGAGGAAACAAAAATCTGTTAACACATTGTCTAAAGCAATTAAACGAATTCCTTGAGAAAAAATAGCAACAATCATCCTCTTTTAAATACTTGCAATAAATCCTGTAAGATAATTCTCTATATTTAAATAAATCAAACAGGACTATAAGAGAGTTTTTAAAGTTTCTTTATAGACATTGGAATAAAAGCATAGAACAGTTTTATAATGAAGTTTCATGCAGCTCCTACTTAATTTTGATACTAAACTAACAAGTTATATAATTGAACATATAAAAATAACTTGTGATCAACCACACTGTACTTTGGAAATCCATAACAAAACACCTAGATTGTCCTTAGTAAGTCAAGGTAGCACTGACTCTCTTATATAAATCATATAAAAATAACAAGTTATTTTTACATGTTCATATTATACCTTTAAATGTATGTGAAACAAATTTTAATATTCAAGATGGTTTTAATAACAAATTAAGTTTTAAATGAGTATGTATTTTTACTCAAACTAAAAGTGTCATAACTTTGATCTTCACGTATATGTTCTAGAAATACTACATTTTTTTAACTTTTAAGTTCAGGGGTACATGTGAAGGTTTGTTCCACAGGTAAATTCATGTCACAGGGGTTTGTTGTACAGATTATTTCATTACCAAGGAATTAAGTCCAGTACCCAGTAGTTATCACCCTCCACCCTTAAGCAGACCCAGTGTCTGTTGTTTCCTTGTGTTCATGAGTTCTCATCATCTAGCTCCCACTTGTAAGTGAAAACATGCAGTATTTGGTTGTCTTTCCTGCTTTAGTTTGTTGAAGATAATAGCCTCCAGCTTCATCTGTGTTCCCACAAAAGACATGATCTCATTCTTTTTTATGGCTGCATAGTATCCATGGTATACATGTACCACATTCCCTTTATCCAATCTGTCACTGATGAGCATTTAGGTTATTCCCTGTCTTTGCTATTGTGAAAAAATGCTGCAATGAACATTCGCATGCATCTTTATGGTAGAATGCTTTATATTCCTCTGAGTATATACCCAGTAATGGGATTGCTGGGTCAAATAGCAGTTCTGCTTTTAGCTCTTTGAGGAACTGCCATACTGTTTTCCACAATGGCTGAACTAATTTACGCTCCCACCAACAGTATATAAGTATTTCCTTTTCTCTGCAACCTCACCAGTATCTACTAGTTTTTTACTTTTTAACAATAGCCATTCGGACTAGTGTGAGATGGTATCTCCTTGTATTTTTGATTTGCATTTCTCTAATGATCAGTAATATTGAGCTTTTTTCCATATGCTTGTTGGCTGCATGCATGTCTTCTTTTGAAAAGTATCTGTTCGTGTCCTTTACCCACTTTTTAATGGGACTGTTTGTTTTTCTCTTGTAAATTTAAGTTCCTTATAGATGCTGAATATTAGACCTTTATCAGATGCATAGTTTGCAAATATTTTCTCCCATTCTGTAGGCTGCTTCCTCTGTTGATAGTTTGTTTCACTGTGCAGAAACTCTTAAGTTTAATTAGATCTCACTTGTAAATTTTTGCTTTTCTTGTGATTGCTTTTGGTGTCTTTGTCATGAAATCTTTGCCCGTTCCTATGTCCAAGATGGTATTGCCTAGGTTGTTTTCTAGGGTTTTTACAATTTGGGGTTTTACATTTAAGTCTTTAATCCATCTTGAGTTTATTTTTGTATGTGGTATAAGAAAGGGGTCCAGCTTCAGTCTTCTGCATATGGCTAGCCAGTTATCCCAGCACCATTTATTGAATTGAGAGTCCTTTCCCCATTGCTTACTTTTGTTGACTTTGTCAAAGGTCAGATGGCTATAGATGCGCAGCCTTACTTCCTGACTCTCTATTCTGTTCCATTGGTCTATGGATCTGTTTTTGTGCCTGTACCATGCTGTTTTGGTTACCATGGCCCTGTAGTATAGTGTTAAGTCAGGTAAAGTGATGCCTCCAGCTTTGTCCTTTTTGTTTAGGATTGCCTCGGCTATTCACGCTCTTTGTTAGTTCCATATGAATTTTAAAATAGTGTTTTCCAGTTCTGTGAAGGATTTCATTGGAATTTGATAGGAATAGCATTGAATCTGTACATTGTTTTGGGTAGTATGGCCATTTTAATAATTTGATTCTTCCTATCCATGAGCATGTGATGTTTTCCCATTTGTTTGTGTCTTCTCTGATTTCTTTGAGCAGTGTTTTGTAATTCTCATTGTAAAGAGCTTTCCACGGCGAAACCTCGTCTCTACTAAAAAATACAAAAAACTAGCCGGGCGAGGTGGCAGGCGCCTGTAGTCCCAGCTACTTGGGAGGCTGAGGCAGGAGAATGGCGTAAACCCGGGAGGCAGAGCTTGCAGTGAGCTGAGATCCGGCCACTGCACTCCAGCCTGGGCAACAGAGCGAGACTCCATCTCAAAAAAAAAAAGATCTTTCACCTCCCTGGTTAGCTGTATTGCTAGGTGTTTTATTCTTTTTGTGGCAATGGAATTGCCCTCCTGGTTTGCCTCTCAGCTCGGCTATTGTTGATATATAGGAATGCTAGTGACTTTTGCACATTGATTTTTGTATCCTAAAACTTTGCTGAAGTTGTTTATTACCTGAAGGAGCTTTTGGCCAAGACTATAGAGTTTTCTACATATAGAGTCATGTCATCTGCAAATAGCGACAGTTTGACTTCGTCTCTTCCTATTTGGATGTCCTTTATTTCTTTGTCTTGCCTGACGGCTCTAGCTAGGACTTCCAATACTATGTTGAATAGGAGTGGTGAGAGAGGGCATACTTGTGCTGTTTTCAAGGGGAATGCATTCAGCTTTTCCCCATTCAGTATAATGTTGGCTGTAGGTTTGTCATAGATGGCTTGTATTATTTTGAGGTATGTTCCTTCAATACCTAATTTCTTGAGTTTTTAACATGAAAGGCTGTTGAATTTTATCTAAAGCCTTTTCTGCATATATTGAGATAAGCACTTGGTTTCTGTCTTTAGTTTTGTTTATGTAATGAATCACATTTATTGATTTCAGTGTGTTGAACCAACTTTGCATTCCAGGGATAAAGCCTACTTGATAATGGTGGATTCACTTTTTGATGTGCTGCTAAATTTAGTTTACAAGTATCAAGTATTTTGTTAAGGATTTTTGCAGCGATGTTCATTAGGAATATTGGCCTGAAGGTTTCTTTTTTGTTGTCTCTCTCCCAGGCTTTGGTATCAGGATGATGCTGGCCTCACAGAATTGGTTGGGGAGGAGTCCTTTCTCCTCAATTTTTTGGAATAGTTTCAGTAAGAATAGTAGCAGCACTTTTTGTACATCAGGTAGAACTCAGCTGTTTATCCATCACATCTTGGGCTTTTTTTGGTTGGTAGGCTATTTATTACTGATTCAATTTTGGAGTTCCAATAAGGAACTATTCAGGGAATCAATTTCTTCCTGGTTAAGTCTTGGGAGGATGTATGTGTTCAGGAATTTATTCATCTCTTCTAGGCTTTCTAGTTTGTGTGCATAGAGGTGTTTTTCACAATCGTTTCTGATGGTTATTTTCATTTCTGTGGGGTCAGTGGTAACATCCCTTCATTTCTAATTGTGTTTATTTGGATCTTCTCTCTTTATTAGTCTAGCCAGCAGTCTATCTATCTTATTAATTTTTTCAAAAACCAACTCCTGGATTCATTAATCTTCTGAATGGTTTTTTGTGCCTTGATTTCCTTCAGTTCCGCTCTAATTTTGGTCTT